CTGGCCTCCGCGCGCGCATCCCAGGGTCAGGCGAGGTGCACAGGAGAAGCCCGCGAGAATTCACGGGAGTGACGGCTTCTCACAAAAAATAGGGGGAGTCTGGGCCTCCCGCGCCCAAGTCACTGCCAGGGGTGGTGCTAAACACCGGACGCTCAAACGCAGACGTGACGGCAGCCTGATGGAGGGCCCAGGTGCGCACCGCTTGCGAACACGAAAGGAAGGGAGGGAAGTGAAAGCAAGAGGGCGCGTGCTGCATCCTGTGCTGCCCCTTTACCCCTTGGGGGAAGACACGGGGCGACAATGAAACCGGGATAATCTAGAGGGGAGGAGCAAGAGTGAGCAGGAATGAAGCGGGCAGGCGGACGGCAAGACGCAGCGAGGGGTGGAGGATGTGAAGAGGACGGAAGACCTTGAGAGCATGGGGAGGAAGGAGCGCGGACAGGAACATGCAGGGGGGAGGGAGCAGGCACGGCACGACGCGAAAGCATGGAAAGGAGCGTACAGATGATAAGCACAGGGGGAGGTAGGAAGGAGGGAAAGAGCAGTGAGGGACATAACAATTCAGATTATGAATGCCTGATATCGCTTCCCGTGTTGTTTGGCTTCTTCCTGGCGAGGGGGGGGGGAAGAGGAGAACGGAACGACCAGGGATAGATGAAGAAGAAGGAATGAGGACTCGAAATAATGCGGGAGAAGGAAAAGGACCAAGTGGTCTCGCAGAAGTCTCTCGGAGGTCCCTTGATTAGCGAGGGGCCAATATCGGTATCCTTCGGGTTCTCTCCTGGAGTGGTCTTGGAGTTGTGAGGAGCCGTATCGAGGGCCGTCTTGGGGTTGAGGCTCTAGGTTCCCGAACTTCGCAACGAATGCTGCCGAACAAGAGAGACGAAAACGATTGATATGACACGGAAGAAAAAAGACACGGGAGGCGGAAAGTGTGACGGAGAAGCACATGGTACAACAACTGTTTTGCCATGTTTGGGCAGCGTGGGCGGTATTAGGCTATCGGTGCTCTCTCGAGTCTCTCTTGAGAGTCTCTTGTGGGCCTGGTAGGCGTCTTTGGGCCCCGCGCAGGATATCCGTAAGGCCTTTCGAAGCGCTCTCGGGGGCAACGTAGGGCCCTTCGGAGCTACATTGGGGACGTCTTGGGGGCCCTTTGTGCCCTGTGGGGAGCTTCTACACTGGGACACTGCTTGGGCTTTCCGGGCGGCAGCTGGAGGCCCACCCAAAGCTTCATTCTCGAACGAACAATAGCCGAAGCACGCACAACGATTTGTTTATCAATGCGCTGGGGCTCTCAGGATGACGATTTTTGCAACCATCCTGGAGGGGGGCCTCAAGAGGCCTTTTTGACCCACCTTGAAATCAATTTGGGGAAACCTCGGGCTCTCGCGACTCCCGAAAAAGCCTCTTCGGGCGCCTCGGGGACCTCGCGTCGATCCTGCAAGCACTCTAGGTTGCCAATTCTGCCCTCCCGGATCTGCAAGCTCGTTGCCGCCCAGGTGGGGCCAGACTTTCGTCGAGCTCCGCTGGCGACTGCGCGTGGCATTGAGCGGATATTTGTTGGGTTTCACCCCTTCCATGGGACAACAACAAAACAAGCTTCCCCCCCATGGGAGGCAATAGACGGGAACTCTTGCGCAAGTTCGGGGAACACCCATCATGAGGTCGGGCGCATCAGAACATCATGGCCTAGAGCGCCACCCCTTCCGCCCTAGACTTTTCCCCACGCCTGCTGGCCTGGGCCAATGGTTGGGGCGTCTGGGCCAAAGTCTACGGCGGCGCCCCTACCGCCCTAGACTGTTCCCCACGCCTGCTGCACCTGGCGCTCAAATGTCTAGACAGCTGGTGCAACACAGCTTGGGCCGGTCCCGAATAGGCGCCTTCTCTTGGCAGAGCGCGTGAACCATTTCTGGGCGATTCTGCGCGCCCCCCCCCCCCGAGAAGCCGGCCTTCATGAAGGCCCCGATGCGCTGGCCTGGGCGCGGAGCAGGTGACATGGTAACTGCGTCAACACCAACACATAGCCTCAGCAATGCCAGCACAAACGACAATTTCACAGACAGAAGCACTGAAGGCAGAGGTGACCCGAGAGATCCGATGACTTCACTTGTTCAAAGCGGGGTCCCGAATAATTCCGACCATTGTCCCAAGGTTGGCGTCTCATACCAAGTCTTTTCTTTGGTGGCGTCGGAGCCCAGAGGGGGGGTCCTAACTGTTGAAAACTGCATGCTACAGAATAATTACGCCAACGCGCGGCAGGAACTTGCCGGCCTGCAGGTATTGGGCGCCGCGGCCGATTCCATTGCTTTGCTGAACGCTTTGATTTCGTCCCGGAAAGGTTTAAAACGAAAATGACTCATCCTAGGCCCTAGGCCTGCCTGAACCCCTCCGATTCCCCCTCGAAATACCCGTCCATTACTGGAATCTCCACTACCGTAATCTGCCCTTTGCTTCCCCCAACATCCGTTGGGCCGCGGGGGGGGGCGGCAAGCAGCACGCGATCGCATCACGCCCGTAGGATGGATTGCCCAACTTCGCACTACCTCCCTTTGGTTCTTGATTGGTGGGCCGGTCGTGCGGCCAGGCAGTCGATGCCTGTAGGAAAGAGGAGGGACAACTGTACTAATGATGGGTTTTTTTTTTTTCCTTAAAAGAACAGTCCCTGGAATGCCCCAAACTGCAGCCACGCCGTACGCACAACACGCACCTCAAGGAACACCAGGGTGACGTACTTACAAATACTACATGTTACACGTGTGTGCCCCGTCGGGTAGCCAGATTCTTCCCGAAACGCGCTACACTAGCGATTTCGATGCCGACCATGGAAACCAAAAGCCATGTGAATAAACAGTGTTCAATATGTGTTTTGCGCAAATCAACGCCCCAAGTTGCTGAACAGCGTGTCGTCCGTGCAGTCATGCCGCAGGCCTTTTCTCGTCCTGCCTCACGTTCCCGGCCCAACGGCGGCCGGGCGGGGAACATCCCTGCAACCGCTGCGCAAACGTCGACATGACACACGCAGATTGCAGGGGAGCCAATTTAGGCAGATTGCAGGCCGTCAGCGGGGTCGTTCCGGGACCTTTTTGGGATTCTCCTATTGCTCCACCTTGGGCACTCTTCGGCCCCTGGACGCTGAAAGACACACGCCATGGTCCGTTTAAACATTGTGGCCGGACAGCCTTTTTTGCATGGATCCGGAAGCCGGCTACACCAATATATGTATCTGTTTACGCATGTACATGCATGTTTACCGTTGTGGTTGTCTTTGTATGTATAAATGTAGCAGACCAGTGTGTGAACGACCATCATGTATACCATGATGCCTGTATATGTGTACATGATGTGTTTATGAATGTTTTCACGCACGCACGCACCATGTACATAAACGGACGCATGTGAACAGACATGCGTCCATACATCGTCCCAAGATCCGTGGGCCGAATGAACATTTGAAGTTGCGTGTGGGGGGGGCATGTTCAATCTACGCCTGCCTGCGCAAGCGCAGCCGCCCCCGCTTCGCCGATTTACGTCCGCAGGTTTGTGTTGGCCCTCCGCCGCAGAGAAGGAGCACATCAAGCTGCCGACTTCCCGATGACCAATCCGATGCGTAAACAGGAAGACATGCCCACCATCGCTCCGAATATCGTTGAATCGACTGGCCCCAGGCACCGCTGAATTCCAAATGACGAATGTACCAAACACAATTGGAAAACGGCATCTACACGCCAGACTCCGATGTCGCGAAGCCAACCAACTGGTCCATGAAGCGTTCCGGCCGCGATGGCCCCCCAAAGACCCCAGAAGGCAGTCCCAAGAGGCCCCCAAAGGGGCATCCAGAAGGCCCCCAGCGGGTACCCTGAAAAACCTCAAGGCGCGCCCGCGAGACCCGCGACCCACAGACCACGCACGGTGGCGGCGGGATGGGTCGAAAACCGTTGTGCGACACATTGTGCGCCTTGATATAATATCGCACACACGATCACAGTCGCGCGCGCGCGCGACCCTTCGCCTGAACTGGACCGCGCGCGCGAACCACGCGCGCGCCGACACCCCGACGAGGCCAGCCAACGAGCTCGCCGGGCTATCGTGCGAAATCAACGCCGACGAGTTGAATATTTATGAATAGTGGGAACGAACGCAACTTTTCTTGTCAACGACGTCACCTGGCATATCTTCACGGCGCAAGCGAGCTTGGGGAAGTGAATCAAGCAACGCGATCCTCGCACATGCATGGCGGTGCCCGAACATGAAAGCAATCTGCAACATGTCACATGGATGTCGACGGTGCCTTTGGTAACACAACGGCCCACGGCGTTTTCCGAAATGAACTACGCAGGGCGGGGCGGAGGAGGCGGAGGAGGAAGAGGAGGAGGAGGAGGAGGAGGAGGAGGGGGAGGCGGAGGAGGAATTGGGAAAGGACAACGAGCGCCGTGGACGTGTGAGGCTGTCTCTGGGGGTGTGTCCCGTCGAGGCCGCTTCCCTGGCCGTGCTTGCTCGTCCGGGCGCCCGCCTCGTCGACCGCGCCGCGGTCCCCCGCCCGCCTGCCGAGAAACAGGAGACGACGATGAGGCGCAGGGCGAGGAGCAGAACACAGGCAAGGAGCAGGGACGAGCATGATGATGCAGAGACGGGGGAGCAGGATAAGGACGAGGACGTGGAGGATAGTGAGATGGGAACAGAGGCGTTTCGAGGATGAAAAGGTAGGGGCAAAAAAGAAGATAACAATAACGAAGAAGACGAATATGAGGAACAGGAACAAGAAGGAGGGAGAGGAGTGCGAGCCGTACGCATGGGGTAATCAATTGCGAGCTCCCTCGGTGCTCATCAGCACAGAAGGCGGAGTGGGAGTTCCGTGGGCATGGTGAGCCATGCGCGAGCTCTCACGGCACTCAGCAGCACGAGGGGAGGAGAAAAAGGGACAGGAGGAGTATGAGATCCAGGAGAAGGTGGACGAGGAACAGGCGCAGGAGGACGAACGGGAGAAGGTCGAGGGGAGACGCTCTTTGCGCTCGGGCCCGGCGCTCCAGTGCTCGCCGCGGCCGAGGAGTGAGGAGGCAGGCTTTGGCCACGCTCGACGCTGGGATTCATCGCGCACGACGACGCCGCGCGCCAGGGGCAAGTGGCACCAGAGGCGATTCGCTCCTCCCCTCCTCCCTGCTCCGTCCTGCTCTCTACGGCAGGCTCCCGTCGTGACGACTTGCGCGCTGGTGTCGCACACCGCGCGGCTCGTTCCATCTTGAACGATCGAAGCTTTCCAGATAGCGCAGGTCGTTCGATGTCGGCCATTTTCGGGTCACAGGCGGCATTCAATCTTCACCGCCTGCGCTGGGGACGCCGCCGCGTTGTCACAACACGTATTTGCCGAACTCCTCTCACCCTCCATCCTGACTTCCCCACCCTTATATTTCTCACCTCCCGCCCTCCTCTTTCCCCTCTCCTCCCTCGACCCTCCCTTTACGCGTAGCTCATTCTTTCTTACACCACCTTGTGTGCAACTCGGGTATGCAATCGTATAGACGGGAGGGAGTGCAACAGGTGCACACCAGACGAATCTTGCTCTGAAGAACCTGCTTGTGCGTGTGCCGACGACCCTCCAACTTCCCAAGGTGTTCCAGGGCTTCGGTGGGACCCCCTGGGACAGCAGGAGACAACGCATGTCCTTGGGGCACCTTCTGGCAGGGCGGCTTCGAAAAAATTGATGCGCCTGCCATGGTGGGAGACAGTACCGAGCAAGACGTGTCTGTGACGACGAGGGAGGCGGCCTTCCTAAGAAGGCTGGGGGCTTCTCAGAAGAACCCCGCCGCTTGGAAGCCATGGGCCCCTCGCCATCGAGTTCCGCCCCCTGACCCTGCCCCTTTGTGTTCGCGCGCCGCCAGGGAGGGTGGTTACAGCCAGGGGATTGCCGCACATCAGCCTCGAGTAGGGAGCGGGACTTGCGAGGAGCGCTGGAGCTAGTCGAAGAAGAAAAAGCGCTACAAACATAGATGTTTGGCTCTCCATGACTTCTTGGATCCGCGCTGGCCCCCCCCAGCGGCGCCTCCGGCGCCGACCCTGGCGCCCTCCGCGCTCCAGGGAGGGGGGCCCAGCGCGGATCCAAGAAACCCACGCGGAGCGCCAAAAGTTTATGCTTATGGCGTTTTTTCTTTCTCTAGCCAGAGTCAAGTCGGGCGTGTCCCCCTACAGGCCGATTTTGGACGAAACCAATTATTAACAGAAAGTGCCCCTCAAATGCCCAAGGATAGTCAAAACATCGTCCCAGGACAAGTTTTGGACTATTCTTGAAGAGTCTTCCCCCTGCAGAGGGACGGGCCCGCCTCCTCGCGGGAGCCCCACAGGACCCCCTTGGGACCGACGCGGCCCCTCTCCCGAGAGGCTTTGCCTGCCGAGGAGGGGCTCGCCGCACGGGCGCCGCGCGCCGGCCCCCCCTGGAGCGCCTCCCTAAGCTTACGGTTAAGTCGGGCCTGTCCCCCTACAAGGGGATTTTCTACGAAAAATAAAAGATACCCCTAACAAAAATCAAAACATGCAAAAAAAAACCCGGGGACTGTTTGTTGGATGTTTCAGCTTTTTGGCACATGTTTGAAGTATTTCCCCATATCCTAAGATGGGGTTCTTGTTATTACTTGGACGCCTCCTGCTCCTTCTTCTCCCTCCTCCTCTTTTCTCCTCCCCTCCTGTCGGACTTACTCATACTCACACTTGCTCATACTCAGACTTACTCATACACAGACTTACTCATACTCAGATTTACTCATACTCAGACCTACTCATACTCAGACTTACTCATACTCAGACATACTCATACACAGACTTACTCATGCACAGACTTACACATACCCAGACGTACTCATACACAGACCTACTCATACCCAGACTTACTCATACACAGTATTACTCATACTCAGAGTTACTCATACCCAGACGTACACATACACAGACTTTCTCATACACAGACCTACCCATACCCAGACTTACTCATACACAGACTTACTCATACACAGAATCACTCATACTCAGGCATACTCATACTCAGACGTACTCATACTCAGACTTACTCAACACACATCAGATTTGGAGAATGTCTCAAGCGGGGCGCTGGTTTCAGCACCCCTAAAGGGGGCCGCCAGGGGTGTTTGCACGGGCTCGTTCGCGGCCATTTTGTGGGGATGTCTCAGGCGGTTTGCTTGTTTCTGGGCTCAACATCCTTCGCTTGGAGAGCAGATTGTGAGGATGTCTCAGGCGGGGCGCTGGTTTCAGCACCCCTAAGGGGAGCCGCCAGGGGTGTTTGCACGGGCTCGTTCGCGGCCATTTTGTGGGGATGTCTCAGGCGGTTTGCTTGTTTCTGGGCTCAACATCCTTCGCTTGGAGAGCAGATTGTGAGGATGTCTCAGGCGGGGCGCTGGTTTCAGCACCCCTAAGGGGAGCCGCCAGGGGTGGTTGCACGGGCTCGTTCGCGGCCATTTTGTGGGGATGTCTCAGGCGGTTTGCTTGTTTCTGGGCCCAACATCCTTCGCTTGGAGAGCAGATTGTGAGGATGTCTCAGGCGGGGCGCTGGTTTCAGCACCCCTAAGGGGAGCCGCCAGGGGTGTTTGCACGGGCTCGTTTGCGGCCATTTTGCGGTGATGTCTCAAGCGGTTTGCTTGTTTCCGGGCCCAACACCCTTCGCTTGGAGAGCAGATTGTAAGGATGTCTCAGGCGGGGCGCTGGTTTCAGCACCCCTAAGGGGAGCCGCCATGGGTGGTTGCGCGGGCTCGCTCGCGGCCATTTTGTGGGGATGTCTTAAGCGGTTTGCTTGTTTCTGGGCCCAACACCCTTCGCTTGGAGAGCAGATTGTGAGGATGTCTCAGGCGGGGCGCTGGTTTCAGCACCCTAAGGAGAGCCGCCAGGGGTGGTTGCACGGGCTCGTTCGCGGCCATTTTGTTGGGGATGTCTCCGGCGGTTTGCCTGTTTCCGGGCTCGACATCCTTCGCTTGGAGAGCAGATTGTGAGGATGTCTCAGGCGGGGCGCTGGTTTCAGCACCCCTAAGGGGAGCCGCCAGGGGTGTTTGCACGGGCTCGTTCGCGGCCATATTGTGGGGATGTCTCATGCGGTTTGCTTGTTTCTGGGCTCAACACCCTTCGCTTGGAAAGCAGATTGTGAGGATGTCTCAAGCGGGGCGCTGGTTGCAGCACCCCTATGGGGAGCCGCCAGGGGTGGTTGCACGGGCACGTTCGCGGCCATATTGTGGGGATGTCTCAGGCGGTTCGCTTGTTTCTGGGCTCAACAGGGAGGGAAATGACAGGAACGAGGATGAGGAGGAGGAACAGGAGGAGGAGGAGGAGGCGGGGGATCGTGAGGAAGGGCATGGGGGTGCGGAGGGGGAGGGGGAGCAGGAGGATGAGGAGGAGGAGCAGGAGCAGGAGAAGGGAGGGGGCGGAGGAACAGGAGGAGGAGGAGGAGGAGGAGCGCTTTGCTCGAAGGTCCTTGACGCGAGCAGAACGTTTGTTCCGAAGTCCAATATATATATATATATATATATTCATAGGGGGTGACTGCGAGGGGGGGGGGCGGTGGTTGTGTGCGGGGATCGTTGGACATGCTCACCGTGGCACTATCCTCCAACATGACATGCACTTATGGCCTTGTGTGGCTAAACGCTCGTCTTACATATCCCACTGCCAACTATCCTACAACATATGCACATGTGGGAAGCTCCAAAGCTACCACGGGCTGAAAAGGGGAAGGCCTGGCAGCTGAGGAGGGGGGATGAAGAGGAAGAGGCTCGCATTCAACCATACTCAAAGCTCACTCTGACTCATACGCAATCACTCGCATTAGGGGTCACTCGTCTTCGTCGGCCCTGTCGCCCACGTGGACGCGCTATTGTAGTCGACCGCTCATGAACAGACGCTCACCACGGCATGACATAAAACATGAGATGCACATATGGGGAGCTCCACGCAGTGAGTAATTAAATTTTTCGTCGAAAATCCCACTGTAAAGGGGCACGCCCGACATAAGCTTACAGGCCCCGATGGGCAGGGCGCGCCGCCGGCGCAGCCGCGCAGCAGCCGCCGCCGCGGCCCGCGGCCGCGGCGAGGTCTGCCCCACCGCGGGCGGCGTCGGCGCTCGGCCGCGTCAGTCCTCCGCGGCGCCAGCCTTGACGTAGGCCCACCTGCCGCCGGCAACCTTCCAGCGCCCGCCGTGCGTGTCCCCGTCGCGCCCGCCGTACGCGGCGTCCTTCGCCTCCTGGGCCCTCTGCCTGGTCTCGTCCGTCTGGATGCCGAAGCTGGGGGCCAGCGCCCCGGCCAGGGCCGACAGGGAGCCCGCGACGGCCTCCCGGTTTTTTTTGTTTGGGGGGCACGGCGCGCGGGGACAAACAGGCACTGTGAAGAACGAGCGGCATGATGGCATGCAACAAGGCACGGCATCGCGGGGGCATCAACGCACCTCCTGAGGAGACCGATATCCGCCAGCACTGCTGGCGAGTGTGAAGATGGGTCCTTGGGGTGGCCGTACCGGGGTGGTCCCAGGAGGCCAGGACCGGGGTGGCCGTACCGGGGTGGCCGTACCGGGGTGGCCGTACCGGCGCTCTTCCATTCGAGGCTCTCCCCTTTTTCCCTGCGGCCACCTGGGGGGCTCTGCAAGCTCTCCAACCAGATTTAAATCTACCTGTGCCAATCGGGGTGGGGAGGGGCAGAGGGGGGGCGCCGGGGGGAGGAGTGGGGTACACCCGTCCCTTGAACGACTCGGGCGATATTGGGATCGGTTTGGCCATCTTCGGCCTACCTCCTGGATCCCACTCCCACTTGGGGCCAACTTCAGCACTCTTGTGGTATGGTCTCTCGGGGCGTCATGGGGGTCGGCCCAAGAGACCCAAATCGGTTGAATCCCTCAGATTTGGATTTTAGCAAGCTGGGACCCCAAACGATAAGTGATTGCACTGTGGAGGCGAACACTGTGCGGTGCAAGCTATCTTGTGAAAGCCGTATAGTGTAAGCTATGGGGTGCAGGCTATGGAGGTGGAAGCGATGCGATGCAGGCTAAGTGGCGAAAAAAAACCGTGTGAGTCATGCGGTTGGAGCTACGGGTGTGAAAGCTCCACAGTAAGTGGTGCAAGCTTGGTATGGTAAGCTATGCAGAGTGAAAGCTATGTGGCGTGAGCTGTTGAGGTGACAGCCACAGCCATGCGGTGTAGACTGTGGTGTGACAGCGATGTCGTTGAAGCTTGCTTGAACTGGAGATTCCAGCCATCGTGTGTAAGCTATGCGATGTAAAGCAAGTGAAGTGTGTAAGCTACGCGGTTGACGCTACGTGGTGAAGGCTGTGTCGTGTAGACTCACGAGGCGCCCAAGACGTGGCACGGGTAGCAACGTGGCGCATCCTCAACAATTCTCCCACGAGCGGGGCGCCCACAAGGCGCTCACGAGACGGCACGGGCGGCACAGTGGCGCAAAATCCCACGTACCCCCAAGCACGTGCCCGCAACATGGCGAACATTCGCCATACCCAGCTCCTTACTAACAGGACAAAAAGCTGTACATGCAAACACTGCTACAAAAAGCATCCTCGCCGCACCGTCGCAAGAACATCCAAGACGGCCCAATATAAGCCCCCAGGACTGGTCCGAGATAGCTCAAGAGGTCCTCAAGAGGGGCCCAAGGTGTCTCCCGAGACAACCCCAGAAAGCGCGCTACCGCCGCGCCGCGGGTAGCCAACACCTCCGATACGACCCCAAGGACCCTCAAGAGGCCCCCAAGACGCATTCCAGTGGGCCGTCCAGGCCCCCCAGGAGCCCACCCAATGCCCCCCAGGCCTCTGGAGCACGACCCCGACTACAGTGGCGGAAGGGCCGCAGGCCACTGTTGTAGACTTCTCGCTCGCACTATAAGACCACCACTGCCCCATACCGTCGTGCCCCGTCCGCCTCTTGCTCGCCAGCTGTTCTCGCCTCAGGGTCGGCGGGACGGCCGGAAGGCATTGTAATCAGGCGACGGTGCCAACCTCCAAATTCATCCTCTTCTCCGATTCGGGCGCTGGGTCCCAAGAGCGCTCTGGACTAAGGTGGTTTAGGGGATGTATTTTCCAACCCCCTTCTTCCTCTTCGTCGGAAGGTTTACTGCTGTTCAGGATGTTGTTAAGAACACCCCCTCCCCTACTCGACCTGCCGCCAGCCAGGAACGACGCCATCATCCCCCCCGCAATCGCTGTCGAATAACATTTCAAAATGCACGTAGCGGCAGGATCTGGAATATTAAGGGGCACGGGGCGGCAGTTTGCACTGTTTTTTCGCAAGTGTGGCGAGGGTAGGAGATATTATCCGCTGCGCACAGGCCAACTACCCCTACGAAAGACAATTCAATCTCGACTGGGGGTGCGCACACAATACATAATTCTGATCCCACGCCCGCAAATTTGCAGTGACATTTGTCAGGGATGGTGGGGGGGCCCACATATGGCCACATGTGCGATGCCGCGTGAAGTGCCGCACCTGGCGTACTGTGCGCGCTGCGCAGCTGGCGCAATTGGTGCTGCCGGAGCATGTTGCACACTTGGCGCTCGTAGAGAACGTGGCGCATCCACCGCACCCGCCGCGAATGGCACACCTGAGCCCCACGGGCACCTGGCGCACCCGGAATGCGCGGCGCACCTGGCACGCTCGGCGCACCTCGCGAGCGTCCGGCACCTCACGTCTATATCGGATCCCTATGGCGGCCCATCCGATGGCGACCTCTGCCATGCCTTAATCTCGGGTGCTGCGTATATGGTGGGACGGCGGGAGGGAGTGAGCGAGAGAGCTTGCGACGCTCTCATTGGAACCTGGACCCCTCCCCCAACCCCACTCCCGCCCTGCGTCTGGACGGGGGGAGAGCGCAAGGTGCCAGAGGGACCATTTGGCCCAAGATGGCTCTTAGAGCCTAGAGGGCCCCAGCAGATAGCCCCCCATGGTCTCCAAGATGCACAATATAGCCCGAGGCGACGAATGGAAACCTTGGGGATGCGAACACGAAGTTCTAGGACCACCACAAGACGCTTCCAAGTGGCGATGGAGCCACCCAGCCATACCCCCAATACATTCGAATCCGGCGAAAGCCAATCCCCCCCGTAAGAGATGATCACATCCGGCAACATCTCGACAGCTCCATGTTTAGTTGCGTTCTCGCCTTTACGCTTCCCGCATGCGGGGAGGGCCCAAGAGGACCCATCAGGGCACCAGATCAGTGCCGGAGGCCCCCCAGGAGCGCCCCAAGAGCGCGCCCAGAGGCCCCCCATTTGGCTGTCTCCGACGGGGGGGCGCTAGTCGATGCCGCACTCGATCGAATGCCTCCGAGACTGCTCCAAGAGGGCCCAGGAGGCCCCCAGATGGCCCGGGGCGGCCGCCCCCCCAAAGAGAGCTCCAAGATGGCCCCAGCAGGCTCGAAGAGGTCATGCAGATCAGCCTGGTCGGCCTCTTTGCTTCACTGCAGTCGGGGCTCACAAGAAGCGAGGAGGGCACGCGAGGGGTCACAAGAACCTTCCGAGGACCGCGTTGCCACAGGAATGCAGAAGGCGTGGGTCGCGAAGCACAGGACGCGAGGTTACCCTTGGTCTGGCAGGGTCGACCTACTTCTCCGCCTCGACTGTACGTGGTTATCCATGCCCCTCCTCCTGACAACTCCACTGGGCTGAGGTCGGCCCTGTCCCCATACTGGGGGAATTTGGGCGACAAAAAAACAAAACTCAACACATACTCCCGAACTGTTCAAACATAGTTCAAAACTGGTCCCCATAATTGATCTTTACTATTTTTGAATCTTCCCCTTGCAGAGGGACAGGTCCGACTTAACCCTGGGCGCCGTTTCTGGATGACCAGCCCGGGGACGGGCACAGCGCCGAGCATTTCAGGTCAAAGCGCCTGCATGGCGCCCACGAGCGCGTTCGCAGTTCTGTCCGCGTGGCTCTTCGCGGCGTCGTGCACGTCCTCCGCCGCGTCCGCGACGTGGCCCAGGCGCTTCAGGGCCGCCGCGTTGTCCCTGGAGGCCGCGCCCGCAAGCTGCTCCGCTGCCCTCTCCACGCTGCTCTTCAGGCCCCCGTGCACGTCCAGTGCGGTGCCGACCAGGGTGCCCGTGACCTTCTTGGCGGTGCGCACAAGGGGGCGTGGGGGAGGGGGGCAAGGCTTCTTGGAAGGGGCCTGCGTCTGAGAAGGCGCCGGCGCCTTCTCAGAAGCAGGGGCGCTTCCAAGAAGCCTTCCCCCCCCAAAGCCCCTCTGCGCGTGGCCCACCTTCCCCGCATGCTCCATCGCTCCCGAGTGCAGGCCCTGCACCGTATCCACCACGGCGCCACCCGCCTTCTGTGCGTGCTCCCTCGCACTCTCGTGGAGGTCCTGCGCTGCATCGGCCGCCCTCCCAGTGTGATGTAAGGCACCCGCATGCGCGTTCTGCAATCCCTCAGCCAATGAATCCTGCATCCTCCTATCGGCGGCCAGCCCGGGGGGGAAGTGAGAAGGGGCGGGCCTTCTCAGAAGGCTCGGAAGTCCCCTGGCCTTCTGAGAAGCTTTCTGGTCCTGCCCCGAAGACACCGAAAACTTCTCAGTTGGCGCGAGGACTTCTGAGAAGCCCCACCGCCTTCTGAGAAGGCCTCCTCCTTCTCACTTCCCCGCTTCGCTCGCCGCCGATCCTAACAGGGTGCTTGGACGGAACGACGACGGAGCCGCTCGAGTTCTCCTCTGTGCTGTTCCGCGAGCGATGCTTTTGCGCCGTTGGCTGGGGCGGCCAATTTTGCCCTGGCGGCCCGTGCCCAGATTGTCCATGCTGCCCAGGAGTCCCAAGTACGGACGTCGACACGCCCTTCTTGACGCTGCCCGCGCTGCCCACAGAGCCCGACGGCCTAACGCCTGTCCTGTCGGAATGCTCATCTGAGGCCTTGGCCTCGTCTGCGGCATCGTCGAAGCCTCGCACAATGGGATCGCCTGCGGCACCGTCGGAATCACCCACCACCAGATGCATGCCATCTGCAATCTCCAGGGCGTCTCCGACTTCGCCGTGTACATCGTCCTCCGCTCCGGCAGACTCGTCGGCGCTGCTCCCAGCAGCCTCCTGGTGGCTGACCGTTTCGTCGGCAGCGCCGATGGCATCGTTTGCGGCATCCTGCTGGAAGTCGCGATGAGTAGACGGTTCTGGGGAAGCCCGGGGGCGGGGGCGGAAGAGGAGGAAGACATGACGGAGAATGGAGGATCGCGGGAAGCGAGTCGGATGGTGATGAGGAGGGTCTCATCTCAAAGGTCCTCGCTCTTCTCTTCCCGGCACCATGCTTCTAAGGAGGGCCTCACAGGAGGCCACAGGCAGCCCGCTCCAATGAGGGGCCTCGGGTCGGCCACTCCCCCCGGGGGGAGGAGAACGGACAGAGTAACATAATAATACCTCTGGAGACTGGAGCGTCGAGGCAGCGCAAGCCTGACAAGACGTCGAGGAGCTAAGCCAAGACGGAGTAACTCCGCACGGAGACCGAGCACTCCGTGAGGACTTCCTCCGCGCAGGCTGAGCATCCTGCCAGGATTGGCCACGCCTGGACGGTGTGAGCCCAGACGGAGGCCGAGCGACCCTGCACGGACTCGGAGCCGATCCCCCCCCCCCTTGGCCCCTCCCCGACACGCCAGCTCGAGGGGCGTCCGGCCCTGGCCACGAGAGCCCCCTGCTCCGAAGGCCCCCCCCCCAGATGAGGCCGGCACTCGGAGGCGACGACAGGGGCGCACGGCCCTGCTCCTCCCCGGGCTGTTCGCCCCACTCCGGACGCCCCCGAAGAACGGCCTCACCTCGGGGCGCGGCGGCGCCGCGCAGGCGGCGGCGGCGTGGAGCCCGTGCGCAAGGCCGTTGGGCCCGCGGCGCCGGTCCTCGGCCGGCCAAGGGCTGCCGCCGGCGGCGGGCCCGCTGGACCTGTCCCCGCCCAGCACCGCGCAGCTCCACGGCGTCTGGAACTCAGGGTCGTGGTCCTGCGGAAGGCGGGCTGGGAGGGAGGGGGGGGTGCAGCGGGGAGGGGGGAGGGCAAAGAGGGACGGAGGGGAAGGAGGAGGAGAGGAGGAGGAGGAGGGGAAGGAGGAGGAGGAGGAGGAGGAGGAGGAGGAGGAGGAGGAGGAGGAGGAGCAGCAGGTGCAGAGGAGGGTGGTGGGGGCCTGTGATATGTAGAGGGGGGAGACAGGGAGAAGGAGTGAGGGGCAGGTCGCGGGGGGTGGGGACGGGTGGGGGGAGAGGACGGAGGAGGGAGATGCCGAGGAGGTCGGGGGAAGGGAATGGGCGGGGTGTGAGAAGAAGGGGCCATGGAGGAGCGGAGAGATGAGAAGGAGAGGCCACGGAGGAGCGGAGCGGAGCGGAGAAGGAGGGGCCATGGTCTGAGGAGGGAGGAGGCGAGAGAGAGAGAGAGAGAAAGGGAGGACGAGGATGAGGAGGAGCAGGAGGAGGAGGAGGAGGACGAGGGCCACAGCACACCCAAGATGCACTAACGATGTTGCAGTACGCCCTCCCGTGCCAAGCCCCCTCTCCTCAGGACCTGCGAGTCTTCCCCTTCCACTGCGGGAAGCGCCCCCACCCTTGACAGACGAGCGCGCCTGTGGGCCTGCCATTTGAGCGAGAGCCCGTCGGGTAAAAGGATCCACCACGAGCTGCATGTCAACCACGTTGTAATTGAACCGACGCCATCCACCCGTTGTTCAACAGACCAAGATGTACGACCAAGATGTCCACGGACGATGGCTCCGTTTTGAAAACGATCTGCCCTCCATCCCTGCACTCGTGGCACAAGTTTAAAACGATGTCCCAAGCAGCGCTTGTATGAGGTGGTCTACCGACAAGGAACTGGCTGGGCCTGCCGAAGTTCCGCCCGGGAGGCGGCCGTGGGCGCTCCGCGAGTGCCTCGTGTGCTGGGCCGATCTGCCGAATTTCTTTGCCCAGTGGGCGACCGCAGGCGCCTCGTGGGCGTCCCGTGTGCTGGCTGAGGCTGCCGAGGTTTCGCCTGGTGGGCGACCACGACCGCCTCGTAGGAGGAGGAGGAGGAGGGAGGAGGAGGAGGAGGAGGAGGAGCAGGAGGAGGAGGAGGAGGAGGAGGGAGGAGGGAGGAGGAGCAGGAGGAGGAGGAGGTGGAGGAGGAGGGAGGGGGGAGGAGGAGCAGGAGGAGCAGGAGGAGGAGGAGGAGGAGCCCCGTGTTCTGGGTAGGTCTGTTTAGATTTCGCCTGGGGGGCGGCCGTGGGCGCCTCGAGGGCGCACAGTGCGCTGGCAGGGTCCACCGAGGCTTCGCCTGGTGGGCGCTCGTGAGCACCCCGTGAGCGCCGCGTGCTGCTCGCACGACACTGCCTGCGCTGCATGGCTTGCACCAAGTTGCTTACGCCTCAAAGCTTGCATCGTTTTCACCAGGTAGCTTACACAAACACAGGCTTGCACGATACACAGCTGGCACCACATTGCTTAAGCAACAGACTTTGCACCACACTGCTAGCAGTGCGCACAGCTTACACCACGCAGTGTGCACGTTTGCGTATTGTTTGATTCTGGGTTTCAACATGTAGCCGAAGGGTGGGGGAGTGGGGCGGTCTGGATCTGGGCCGGTGCTAAGTCGATCTGCTTTTACCAGCCGCGCAAGCAATCAAGAGGCCCTGGCAAGTCGCCAGAAACCAGCCGCGAGAAGCAGCCAATAGTTGGTTTAGGACAAAAAAGAAAGCAGGAACCCACACCGATCGGCAAACAATACATACAAAAAAGGCGACCACCCTATAGCTTTGTTTGGGGTCCGCGCTGAGTCATACATGAACCGGGCGCGGCCCGGATAGGGGCCCATCTCTTTTCCAGAGTATTTCGAATGAGTTCTGAGCGATTCAAAGCAACGCGAGGCAACGCATGTCTTGGCAGTGCTTTTCACCCCTCTGCGATAATCGGCACTGTTTGGAACCGCTGCGCGCTATTCCTTGGCAGTGCATGGAACTGGTGCGCATGGCTCGCTGTGTCGTCCGCCTGGCTTTCGAGCGGGAGCCGACCGAACGAAACACACTCTCTGGAGGGCGCCACGCCGCCGCCTCCACTCGAAACGCAGCCGCGGGCCCCGCTGCCAGTGGGCCGCCCGCTGCCTCCGGGAGCCGCCCGTCCGAGCTGTGGGGGGCCTCGGCCTCACCTTTAGCGTTTCGTTCCTCGACCCCTCCCCCCCGGCTCGAGGACGAGGACGCGCACGGGGAACACGACGAGAACGACGACGACATCGACGACGACGACGAGGGCTAGGACGATGAAGACGACGAGGACGAGGACGACTAGGACGAGGGCGAGGACGACGAAGACGACGAAAGCCGGCCGCCTTCGAAGATGCCCAGAGGTTTCCAAAAGCTTCGGGAGGTCTTTGGAGGTCTCTGGAGGCGTCTTGAGGCCCTTCAAGGCCCTTCGAGGCCCGAAGATACGACGACGACGCCGACGAACATGACGACGACGATCGCCACTGCAGGTTTCCAGAAGTCTCTGGAAGGCTCAAGCTGTCTCCAGAAGGCTCTGGAAGCGTCTGCAAGTCCTCGAGAATTGGAACGACCGTGAGAATAAGAACGATGATGATGATGCTGATGATGATGATAATGATGATGATGATGATGATGATGATGACGATGATGATGATAATGGTGACGACGACGATTACGATGACGACAATTATGATGATGATGATGATGATGATGATGATGATGATGATGATGATGATGATGATGATGATGATGATGATGATGATGATGATGATGATGATGCTGATCATTATGATAATGGTGAAGATGATAATGATAATGACAAGGCGCGCCCCCAGCAGCGTCAACCTGAGCAGGGCCTGTGTGAAGTGAAGTGGTGGCCGCTCAAAGCAGCGTGTGATTTTGCGCGCAGCAATGGCAGCCAGGATGAACAGCGAACTCCGACCAACAAAAGGTGGCTCTTTTTCCCTCCCGTCCGCACCAGAGGGGGATACAACACCAAAAAAAATGCTGGCTGCGAAACCGCCGGGAAAAGTAACGACATCCCCCCCTAAGCAGACCGCAGGTCAGAGGATTCATTAATTGCGAGTGTGTGGCGAGCTGAACGGCCGCGAATGGCCGCAGACCAGCGGAGCCAGAGGAGAGGGGGAGGACAGAGGCAGCGGAGAAACCAAAACACTTGGAGCAGCGCGCAAGCCAACCTGTAATAGGCGAGCAGTTGCGCGCATCCGAGCAGAGAGGTACCTGGCACGAGGGTTGATTCAAATTTCTGAGTCCGGACTCCGAGCACAACCACGTGAACGATCCAGCCCGACAAATTAGCCCGCACTCCTATCGATACGAATTCCCACCTAAAACGTATCAGCCTGGCCGGGATCAGCTAGGAACATGGCCCAGCCAGAGCAGCACATGAAAAACATCGCCCCTGGTGTCTCATTGCGTCGGGGGCGCACCAATGGCGCATTGATCGATATCCGCAAATCCGGCACGGTCGCTCCAGACCCGGACGGGGGAACAGAAAAAGGGAGAGGAACAACAAAACGAGAAGAAGCGGGAGCGGACTACAATGATACAGTATTGCGCAAAACTGTATCATAGCGAAGCCGGTTGGACAGCCCGGGATAAGAAACACAACTAGGTGAGTGTAGCGAGCGGCTCGCCGAATTACGACCGAGCAGAAGAGGAGGGATGAGAAAACAATTGGCACACGAACGATGCGAGGAGCATGCTTCTGGCCTTCCTGACGGGGCCTCGGGAGAACAATCCTGACGGAATAGTGTGCGCGTGATTGGCCAGAATCCGCATTGCGGACGTGGCCGCGGAAAGCGTCGGCCATGTCGGCGGCACGCAGGCCGTGTTAAACAATATTGTTGTGCCTTCTATGTATATATATACATGGACATACGCACACACACAGATGTATATGTATATGTGTATATATACACACATATATATATATACACACACCCCGATCGCCTGGAGCGCAGCCGCCGTGGCCCTGCCGATGCCGTCCCGGCAGAACGCGGGGAGCGAGTGCTCGTGAGGGCGAGGGTCCAAACAGTCGCTGGGGCACCCCTCCGCTGGCGGACGGCTGAATCCGAGACATTGGCGGCGCAGGGTATGAAATTGATTACAAAAAGCGTAATTTTGTACACTGTCCTCCCCGCGTGGGCAGTTGAACAGACAACCCCTTGCCCGGCCAAACTGGCAGGCGGTGATACAACCATTCTAAGCAGTACGAATTTGATGCGCCTGGAACCTGGGGGGAGTGGGGGGTGGAGAAGGCAAGAATATTGAGCCACCTCGGTGGGCGGTGGCCGGGCAAAACATCGAGCTGCCACGTGTCCAATCGTTTTCTGGTAAGCCGTGCAGCAGAAGGTGGGGAAACAACGTCAAAAATACGAGCGGCCCGCGCTTGCCACCCGCTCCCCGTCCCTGAGCGGCGGGGCTGGCAGCGTAGAGGAAAAACGGCGCCGCGCGCAATTGCCGCTCGGCTCCTGTCAGCTCAGCGGTGGCGGCCCGGAGCGAGAACAGAAAATGATGGTCGATGTGCTGCTGGATATGCCCCGCCAGGGACTGGTTTTCAGCGTCGCGGCTCAGCTGGTGGAGCTGGCGAGCGCGAGCTTGGATCTGGAGACCGCCGTGCGTGGGGTTCTCAAACCTGGCGACCCTGGCTCTCGCCGCACGGGCGGCGGAATGGACATCGGGAAAGTCCTTCGGGAAGCTCAACGATTTCAACCAAAACATCCATGGAGAACCAATCCTTGGGGCCGCGGAACAACGCACGGCGTGATTGCAGCTCGATCGCGTCGAAGGAGCACGGCAGCAGGTCGAGCCGCGCGACGAACATGACCACTGTGCCACTGAGTACGCGAGGACCTGGTAGGCCAAGAAGGTGTCAAAAAGGACAACGCCCATTTGCCCCCATAGCACGGCTCTGTCGATGAACTTCTTAAAACGGGGCACCCCATCAGCTGGTGCCGCGGCCCAGGCCGACGACGATGCCGAGGTACTTCGCCTTATCTTGCATTGTGAGGGCCCCCCATAACGGGGCTTCCCAGATGAGCCGGCGACGCACATCACCGCGATAGTACGTGCAAAGTGGCATGAGGACGGTCTTGTTGGCATTTAGCCAGAAAGGCCTGATATACGCTCATACTCCAGGAGCATGTCCTGGATGGCGCCAATGTGCTGGAAGATGGTAGAATGCACCAGAACCGCCCGCGTCGTCGGCGTAGGCGCGCACTCGACCTTCTGGGGAATGCCGGCCCAAGCGCCGAGGCAGGATGTCCGATGCCACCGCAAACAGCACCAGGGACGGGGGGCAACCTTGTTGGATGCCCCGTGCCAAGTCGAAGTCAACGTGACGTGTGCCGCCCAGGGCGATGGAACACGAATTGCGGCAGCACGCTCAGATAACAAAACTGGCCAGCCGCACCGGCCATCGAATCTCGCGGAACACAGCGAACGACACGTCGTGCTCTACGGACGGGAACGCGGCGGCGAAGCCGCAGAACAGCGCCCCGCCCTCGCTGGATGTGCACGTGCTCGTTGCCATGGCCTCCTCCATGTCAACCAGATTGGCCAGCATGCTGCGCTCTGCGATGAAGCCCACCTGGGCGTCGACAGTCTTTGGGCCGAGGAGTGGTTCCATGAGATGTCGAACGGCGCTGGCCAAAAGACGATTCTCTGTGTTGTTCACGTTCAACGGCCTTGTCTTCTCTGCTGTGAAGTCACCCTCGCCTGCGGTGGTGGTGCCGGGAGCTTTTCGGGGCACCAGGAACAGCAGGCTCCCATTGACATTCGGCCACTCCTCGTCGATGGCCGCGCATTCGGACTCGTCGATCAGCACACGCACCGCGTCGAAGAGAACCCTGGTGAGCTCGATGCAACGCCTCCAAACGAGGAAACTGATGCCATCGGGGCCCGGGAAGGACTGTTGGAATTCTGGATGGCGTGCCGGATGTGGCGCTTGCGGAGGCAAACTAGCGCTGGCAGGGGCCTCATCGAAAATGTTCTCGGCGCCCCTCTTGTCGGCGTCCTCGTTGAGCCATTGCTCGAGGAGGGTATGATCGATGCCGTCCGCGCGAAAAAAACACCCCTCCAGTGACTTCGGAATTCCGCGGCCATCGCGGCGGCGCCTGTCAGGATCTGGCCGTTTCTGGCCAGGACGGCCGAGAGTCAACCAGCTTGCCAGGAGCGAGTCGGAAGATCAGTCGAAGATTATTCTGCCCGGCTTGGAAGGCCCTGGCAGCGCTGCCACTAACAATGACTGCGTGCGATGTGTTCAGCTCGTCGAGGGCGTATTTTCTGGCCAATTCGATCGCGTGGTGCCTGACGGGCTGGGGACGAGTGGAGAGATCGCCCCAAATGTCGCAAGGGTTGTCCATCAGCTCGGCCAGACGAGGGCAACGCTCGATGCACGATGATATGCCTCCCATCTTGCCGTTCCCGAAGTTCCATCTGAATTTCATCGTAACCGCAAGCCGGTCTTCAAGGCCGGCAGCAGGAGGCTTGCCCATCGTGGCGTCCAAACGCTGGGCCACTTGTTGGTGGAGCTTTTGAACAACTGTAGCCGGCGAGTCGGCGATGCCAGCGGGTTCTCCTGGAGCTTGCGATGATAATCCAAAGCTAACAGGCGGTGGAAACCGTCGTGCCGTAGGGCACGTTCGGACACAGGACGCTCGTGCTCGTCGGTACTCTCCGGCGTGCTGAGAGAGGCACAGACCACCCTGTGTTCCGACAGATCTGGGCACCGCAGAGGCCTGGAGGCAACGGCCCAGCTGCTCAACGCAGCCTGTGTGCGCCCAGCCACGGCACGGCGTCGGCGTCTCGCGCAGCCGCCAGCGTAGAAACTCGCCGAAGCGCGACGCGAGGGCGGCGGAGGCCCTGCTGGACACTTGCCGCGCTATATTCTTTCCAAGGGGACCGACGGGCTCGCCAAGGGTAACAGCAGTGCGCCGGGCTGTGGCGGCGATGTCCGCGACGAAGCGCTGCGCAGCAGGCCCGAAACTGCCCTCGGTTTCGACTGCGAACGGGACGACCGCCTCGCCGTATCGTTATGTTTGTGTTGCGCTTCTCGGTGTCGCGGGCCTCGCGGCCGATGGCAGGCGCTGCCAGGCCCGATTTTCCCGGCGAGCGCACGGACACGTCCACCCACGTCGGCACAGGCAGGCGCGGCCAGCTGACGCCGAGGTCGAGCCGCGCCTCGGTTATCTCACCGCAGGCCTCCAGGTACAGCTCCAGCACGCAACATTCCATGATGATGACGGTGACGGTGATGATGGCAACTAGAAAAACAAAACGGCCCAGAGAGCCGATGTCTCGGCAGGAGCATGGAAAAGCGACACCAACACCACTGATTAGGAACCACCAGCGGGAGGAACCAGGGAGGGGTCCTCCTGGTGGTGCGGTCCCCCTCTGGCTCGAGACATCCTATCCCCAGCTTGGGGGAGCACTGTGGACCTCCTCGCTGGAGGTGGCCTCCTGGGGACCCCTGGTGGTGGTTGGTGTTGGTGTCGCTTCTCCTTCCCCCCACCTTGGTCTGTCCAAGTTCGGGGTTCTCCGAAATCCCGGCCCCTCCCCCGGGACCTGCTCCTCGTCACGAGCCGATCGCTGACGCCCCCAGGGCGCGGCCGAGGCCCAAATTGGAGGCCGGAGGCTGAGACGACCACACCGACATACGCTGTCTTGCAGCACGCCGGTGGTCTTGGAGGCCCCACGGCTTTCGGGCCATGGCTCTCGGGCCATGGCTCTCGGGCCTCTGGCAGACGTCCGGGGCCGCTGGGGCGCCCTCGGCGAGGCGCAGCCGCGGGAGGGCGCCCCGAGACACAGAGGACCTGCGAGACACAGAGAGAACTCCGAACTGTGCAGAGAGGGCAGTGGACAAGGCACCATTCCAGAAGGAGTCCAGGGTCTGGAAACGTGGGTTGTCCAAGGAAATCAATGCCGACCTCTGCAAATAAGGAATCCCACGCGGTCTGCAGCCTCCTGGGCACACTCCTTAACCAACGCCCCCACTGTATCCTCCAGGCTAGCTGCGCACATCGATGGGCAAACCAAAAGGTACCAATACTGCTATCCCCAGACCTCTCCCGGGGGTGCGGTCTGAAGAAGATTTTTGAACGAATCCAGCGGTGGCGACGAGGGCCTCCAAGGAGGCCCGAAAGGGGGAAAACGTGTGAAGGGTAGTGGTATGGGTACTGTGTCCTCTTCTGACCACCGTATCCTCCAGGCTAGCTGCGCCCATCGAACCGCTGGAGGCTCCAGAGGGGGGCTCGCCATCGCTCGGACGCCCATTCCACGTGCATTTTTCGATGTCGCGCGCTTATTCGTCGCAAGATGGTCCAGGCTGCTCCTCGATGGTCTTCGCCAAGACAGAGTGCACACACGTCCGAGCTAGGCTTGAGGGCGGGGGGGGGTCCTCCAGCGTGTCCACGCCCGGCGCACACCGCGCCCGGCACGTCGCCCAGAACTCGTCCTTCAGGCCCGCCAGTCCGCGAGACGGGTGCCCGCGGACGGATCAGGGCGGGATACGGCGCTACCTGCCCCTCGGCTGCACTACCGAGGGTTGCTAAGGTGCCACTGGCCCAAGGTGCCCCCAACTGTTCGCTCCGTTTTGGAGCCCCCCGGGGCCCCTTGGCCTCGTGAGGGGTGCTCTGGAGGCCACGGGGGCCTCCTTGGAAGTCCTGGGCACCTTGGGCCAGGGGCATTTCTAGCAACACCCGACACTACGACGAAGCCAGGGCGAGGAAAACAGCAGGCGAGGATGAAATTGGGGAATCTCCGATCTCCGGCGGCCCTGGAGCATGCATCGGGCGCCGCGGCCGCTTCGGAGCGTCCCAAAGGCTCTGGAACGGACTTATCCTCGTCCAAGGTCTTAGCCCCGTCCGAGCGAGACTCGGCGCTCCCTGCCCCCCGGCTGCGCACGCAAGAGCGACCCCATGCAAGAGTGACCTCGGGTGCGCGGCTGGCCGATCGTCGCATGCCGTGCGGCGGAGGCGGTCTGCGTGATGGGGTCTGCCCCCCCCCCCCCCCCCGCCCCCACCCCCTCCTGCTCCTGCTCCTGCTCCTCCTCCTCCTCCTCCTCCTCCTCCTCCTCCTCCTCCTCCCCTCCTCGGAAAACGAGGACCGCCGCGTCCCCGGCAGAGCCGCTGCCCCCGGCTGCGGGAGCACGCACAGGCCCCGGCGCCGCGGCCCGACGCCCCCCGCCCCGCACCTTCCGAGAGCCGCGCGCCGAAGGTCACTCGCTGGCGAAGGGTCACCCTTATACGTTCAGGGGAACGTAAGACCTGGGTACAGTGGACTCGGAAATCCCCGACGAGGTCGTCAAACAAATAACGAGGCCGAGCCTGCATTTTGACGAGGCCTCCCGCTGCAGGCATCCCACGAAACTCCTCCTCGTCAAAATCCGAGGCGCGGTCGTCAAAAAACGATGGCGAACCCGAGTCCTGGCAAACCCGGGTCTTACGCTCCCCCGATACGTGCAACTGGCCTCCGAACAACAGGCACGGGCGATAAGCAGTCGCGGCCAGAAGAGGCATCGGGGCTGATTCTTCGTCGAGGTGCACCAGGGCTGCTGTGAGCCCCCAGGGCCACCGGGGGATAAGAGGCGGCCGTGGGACGTCAGAGCGCTCTCAGACCATGCATGTCTTCCAGCGGCCCAGGAGATCGGGCTCGCAATCGCGTCGCCGGCGCAGCAGAAGAGCGGAAGGGCATGGAGCTCGCGAGCCACCGCATCTCTCCAGACTCCGGCGGCCGACCGCGGCAGGTGGGCGGATCGATGCGGCACGGGCGACGGGCGACGGAGGAACAAGAGGGACACGAGGAGACGAACGAGGGAGAACAACAGCAAGCGGGGAGAAGGGGAAACGCGGGCCCAACCCTCCAAACGAGTTAGAAAATGGTGCGGCAACAATTTGCAATCTTCGGCCTCAGGAAGCCCTTGCCCGGCCCTGCAAAGCGTCAAAAACGACGCAGGAGGAAACGCTGGCCCTGGGTACAGTAAAAGGGTGGGACTTCCCAGGACTGGATGAGCAGGATCGAGGGGCAGTGAAGATAATGAGGATGAGGAGGGGGTCTCGACGACGGGGTATCGAGGAGGGGGAAAGGGAAGATCAGAAGATCAAGGGCCGGGTGACGGTACGCAGCGCGATAAACGACCCAGGTGAAAAGCATGTCCTGCGAGCGTGATCGAAACTCCGCCTCTGTCCCAGACGTCGTACCGATGAGCACGGCCGAGTGGGAGGCTCGGCATTTTCACGCGAACGCTTGCGCTGATGGCGGCGCCAGTCAGCGAATGCTGCTGCAGTGGGGCTGCGGAGATGCACTGAGGTGCCAGACGGGCAGGGCCCACTGGACACTGGCGAGTAACACCATATCCGTTTCGCCATTTTTGGTGTTAAATCGATTCCGGCCGCTCGGGCCCCAAGGGCCGCGAGAGAACGACTCGGGATGAGAAACCAGCCCCGTAGGGACGACACGGCCAGGTGGCGCCAGCCTGTCGAGATAGCAGTCCAGGCCAACGTCGTTGCAACACCTGCAGGGGACCAAATATTGTCCGACGTCCTCCTGCCCCTCCTCCTCCTCCTCCTCCTGCTCCTCCTCCTCCTCCTCCTCCTGCTCCTCCTCCCCGTCCTCCTGCTCCTCCTGCTCCTCCTCCCCCTCCTCCTCCTCCTGCTCCCCTCCTCCTCCTCCTTCTCCTCCTCCTTCTCCTTCTCCTCCTCCTCCTCCTCCTCCTCCCCCTCCTCCTCCTCCTCCTCCTCCTCCTCCTTTCACTCCTCTCCTCCTCCGCCTCCTCCTCCTCCTGCTCCTCCCCTCCTGCTCCTCCTGCTCCTCCTCCCCTCCTCCTCTCCTCCTGCTCCCCTTCTCCTCCTCCTCCCTCCTCTCCTCCTCTCCTTCTCCTTTCCTCCAGCTCCTCCACCTCCTTATCCATCCTCCCTCCTCCTTCTCCTCCTCCTCCTCCTCCCCTCCTCCTCCTCCCCCTCCTCCCCCATTTCTTCCTCCTTCTCCTCCGCCTCCTCCTCCTCCTTCTACTCCTCCTCCCCTTCCTCCTCCTCCTCCTCCGACGTGCCTGCGACTCATCAATGAACCATCCGAAGGTTTTTCTTGGTAGTTTCCGACATCTGGGGTCCGTTTTCCAGCCAAGAACGACTCGGGATGAACAACCAGCCCCAGGGAAAGAACGATTGCTTCTCAAGGTTGGGACTTCTGGGGCCCCCGCAATGGAAAACCAGACGTCAGATCGCTGGGTCCTGATCCTCACGTAAGACATTTCCCCGCAGGAGCACCTTGCCCACCTTCTTTCGCATCCCCTGACGGGATTTCGGGTGACCGTGTCCCGGTCTTAGATGATTTTACATGTTCGCCTATAGGGACATTGACCTCAGACAATTGTTTTCACTCATAGGGGACTTGAATTCAATTGCGCGACCGCCATTACGCGCCCATTTGCAACTATGCTTACATGCGCCGCGTCTTCACACTCTCGAACAAATCGGCCCCAGAGGTGCATCTGCATGTAAGTATGCGGACATAAGAACGCAAGTGCTGTTTTTTCGTCTGTCTTGCGTTGTACTGGGCCGTTTCGCTCAGCCTCACCTTTGATTAGGCCTACGTTGCCCTACCATTCATTACTTCACCCGATCCTGCCTCACACAACAATCCGCAATCGTGCGCCCTGGCACGCTGAGGCGCGGTAAATTGCGAAGTGTACTATGGTAGGGTCGACGTACGTCTTCTCAGGACCACCCCCTACTCGTCACGCCCCACCCCCCACCCCGAGGGTCCCTGGGCGACCCGGCGCCTCGCTGCTAGACTCTCCCAAGCTTCCCCGACGGCCCAGGACGGCCTCCAAGGCTGCCACACCTCTCCTTCTCAAATTACCTTCTCCTGCTTCCCCGCCCGCTCCGTCCGAATGCTGTCTCTTCTGCCGCCTCCTCCGTCGAAGTCTCCCCCCCCTTCCACCAGCCAGCCGGGGGCCCTTCTCAGAACGCGCATGTTGTCTGGACCCTTCCCCCGGGACGGGCGCTCCGTCCCGCTTCCTGATGGCCCCGAGGCCCGGCAGGGGCCCCGGAGGCCGAAGACCGCTAATGGCGTGCCACCTCTGCCGCACAGCGCGCGGGCGGAACGGGCCGCCCCCCCGGGGGCCCGGCACCGGCGCAGGACGCCTCGAGGGCTTTCACTCCCTGGGCGCCTGGTGACGTTGCAGTTGGCCCCCACGTCCGAGCAGCGTCCAGCGTAGGGGGTGGTGGTGGCGGCCGCGGCGCCCGCCGCGCCGGGCTGCAGCGCGGGCCAGGGCTCTGGGCCTGCATGGGAGGGCGCCGATCGAGGCCCGCAGACTGCCCCCGCCCCTCGCGGGCCTCCCGGGGGAGGGCCCTCGCCGTGCACTGGGGCCGGCCAAGGGTCGGGACTGCCGGTGGGCCCGTATACGGAGAGAGAGCGTGGCGATACATCGCCGGATGCGAATCTCCGGAGTGCGAACGCGCTGATCCCAGCCAGGCCCATCCCTGGCCCTGCAGGGCAGGAGGTGCAGGTGCCCTCGAGACCTGCCCAGGATGGCACACACCGCGATGCTGAGCGCAGGATCGGCCTGGCCAGACAGGCTTCGCGCAGATGTACGCCCAGAGATCTGATGCATCGATTTTCCCTGAATGCCCGACCCCTTCTTAGGCGCATATGTAATAATTTTGCGACGTGCACAAACCCTTCCTCAATACGTCGCACGAACGAGCGTGTTGAGTGATTTATAATGTGTAGGAATATTCCTGCGTGCGCAGGGACCCGCGAGGTCTGGGCTGGACCTCCCAGGAGCCCATGAAAGTTGCGCATTTGGCAGCCACCTGGGGAGCTGCGAGGTCACGGCTGGGTCTGCGTGGCCCTCCACTCCGCCGTGCCTCCCAGGAGCCCACGAAAGTGGCCACAGTTGTGCACTCAGCTCCCCGGTGAGCTGCCAAGGTCTCGGCTGGGCCTGGGTGGCCTTCCACCACTCCGCTGGACCTCCCAGGAGCACATGAAAGTGGCGACGGTTGCGCACTTCGCAGACCCCCAGGGAGCCGCGAGGTCTCGGCTGGGTTTGCGTACGCCCCAACTCCGCCGTGCCTCCCAGGAGCCCACGAAAGTGGCGACAGTTGCGCACTTCGCAGCAACCCAGGCAGCCGCGAGGTCCCGCCTGGATCCCCCAAGAGAGCCGCGAGGAGAAGAAAGAGGGGGAGGAAGGAGGAGAAAGGACGGAGACCACAACACATCAGGGTTCGGATTACTTTGTATCAGGCGTTGTTGTTGACAATCCCATCGCCAAGCGAAGGCGCTCCGAGGCCGGACACGGTTGAAAACACTTCCTTTTGGAGGCGCCTCTGGCGGCCGTTCGGGACGATTCGGGCACCCCTGGAACGCTCTCGGCGAGGCCCAGCTGCTGGACAGCATCTCGAGTCCAGAAAAACCCAGGGAGCCGACGACAACGGCCGAACATGGCAAAGGCAGCACATGTTGGCGGCGCACACAGTGTGGCATGGGGGAGGGGGGAAGGCTTCTTGGAATGAGGCCGTCTCTCAGAAGGCGCCGGCCTCGTCTGCAGAAGTAGGGCCAGCGCCTCACAAGAAGCAGGTTCCTTCTAAGAAGCCTTCCCCCATCTTCCCCCCTCCCCCTTTACCCCCTCTGCATGTGGCTGATGGCTTCCAGGTCATGGCTCGGGAGGAGGGAGGAGGGAGGAGGGAGGAGGGAGGAGGGAGGAGGGAGGAGGAGGAGGAGGAGGAGGAGGAGGATGAGGAGGGGGAGGAGGAGGAGGATGAGGAGGAGGAGGAGGAGGAGGAGGAGGAGGAGGAGGAGGGGAGGAGGAGGAGGAGGAGGAGGAGGAGGAGAGGAGGAGGAGTAGGAGGAGGAGGAGGATGAGGAGGAGGAGGAGGAGGAGGAGGAGGGGGAGGAGGAGGAGGAGGAGGAGGAGGAGGAGGAGGAGGAGGGGAGGAGGGGGAGGGGGAGGAGGAGGAGGAGGAGGAGGAGGAGGAGGAGGAGGAGGAGGAGGAGGAGAAGGATGAGGATGAGGAGGAGGAGGAGGAGGAGGAGGAGGAGGAGGAGGAGGAGTCTCCAGCGGTCGTTCAGGACGATCCGGGTACCTCTAGAAAGCGCCCCGGGCGAGGCGCGGCCGCCAGAGAGAGCACCTCGAGGCTGGGCAGCCGCCGAGAGGACCGACGGGAGCGCCCGAGAACCTGGAAACCTCGAGCCTGGAACCTCGAACTTCGTCCCCCCTGCCCCCCCTCTGCGCATGGCCGAACATGTGCTCGTTTCTCTGTGTGTGTGTGTGACTCCGTCGGAGGCATGGGCTTAGGTCGGGCATGTCCCCCTACAGGCGGATCTTGGGCGAAAAACCAAAAATACTCAAACAATTACTCCCAAATGGTCCAAAAATAATGGACAAATAGTCCCCGTATTCTTTTTGATGGCTATTTTTTGCATACTTCTCCTGTAGAGGGACAGGCCCGACTTGAGTCTGGGTGGTTGGCGCCCTGCGAGGGGCCGCCGATGGCCAACAGGCCGCGGGAGCGCAGCCAGAGCACGGCGAGGCAGGCGCCGAGCGCGAGGAGGGCGGGGAGCAGGCAGAGGCACGCCGGGCGGCAGCGCAGCCGCGGCGGCGGCGCGACCTCCTCCCGGGGGGGGGGGGGAAGCCAAGAGCGGAGCAGGGACCGGCCGTCCCGGCATGTCTGTGGGCCCAGCACGACATGTCCTCAGAACCCGAAGATGTTCTAAGGACCGAAACAATGCAGGGGCGACACAAAATGTTGGTGTTTGCGTGCCAGGGCATTTTCTTTTGCGGAGTTGGGCGCCCTGGCGCGGACGGCCGAACGACCCCTGCAGCGTGACACCCTGGCCACGCGGTCGCCGCCGCAAAAACTGCCCGTTCAAGGCTAGCGCCGCGCAAACGCGGCGCCGAACAGCGCTGCGCAGGATCGCGTCCTTGGAACATGAACCCGATGTTCGAAACAAGACAGGCCCAGCCAGAAATATTCTAAGAACGTGTCGTGGAAACCACAAAGGATTCTTAGAACACTGTTTGGCAGGGCTATGGGCACGCCAGGACGCTTCGCCACTGCTTGAAAGAGGTACAACGCCCGAGAACCGAGGGAGGAACAGCAGCGGCCCGACCCCCTATAATCGGCGTTTCCTCGACAGGCCCTGGGCGTGTACCCCCAACGGCCCTGTCCTGAAGGGGGGGCGCCGCTTAGGGGGGGGAGGGGAGCGCCGGGCTCCTCCAGAGGATCGAGGCTCGACGGAGGAAAGAACCTCGGCATAACGATAAGCTTGCGGAGGTCCGCGCAGATTTCTTGGATCGGAACTGGGCCCCCGGCGCCGATCCAAGAAATCCGTGCGGACCTTCGAAAGATCGAGGGCCCTCGGGAGGCCCCTGGGCGATCCGAGGAGTCTGGGGGGTCCTCCTCCTCCTCCTCCTCCTCCTCCTCCTCCTCCTCGAGGTGGTGGCGATCCCCCTGGTGGTGACCAAGGTTGGCACTGCCTGGTCCTCCTTCATGAAGCTGCCGGCGCCCTCGCCCACGTACGAATAGGCCTGGCGGAGGGGCAGCAAGCCGCACCCTTTTAGAAGGGGCCAAGGGGCCCAGGGACACACAAATAAATGAACACATATCCCAAAACAGCCCATAATTTCCATACTAGAGCCATCGGGCAAGCTTGCGCTTCGCGCGCGCTCAGGTTCTCTGGAATCCGAGCTCAGAATGAGATGTTGACGGTTGGGCTACTGTTTCGGATATGTCTTCAGCCGACAATCCCCCCCCCCTGCCCTGGCCGCTGTTTACCCCCGGGCCTACCCAGGTGACGATGCTGAGGGTGTGGATGTTGAGGGTTACGGGAATGATGATGTTCTGAATGACTCTTACTATGGAAATGCGTGTAATGAGAACAGTTATGGTGGTGATGCTGGCGACCATGTAGACGACGACGATGAGGATAATGAAAGGCATGAGTGCGACAAGTAGGCCGATGATGGCGACGATAAGTACCGAGATGATGGTAAGAACGGCAACGCAGTAGATGATGACGGCGGCATTGACACTGGGGAAAATAGTGAACATACGGACGATGACGACGATGAAAGAAGTATGCGGAAGACAACTGACATGATGGGGGTGGCGGTGATGAATATGGTCGTGGCCAAGACATGGATGAATGTGACGATACGTACGATGATGTCTATAGGTGGGCTGTGGCTTTGAATATGACTGTTGCCCAACGCAGTTGCAAGCGTAGGTTGAAGAAACCTCCCGATAATAACCCCCTGGGGATAATAAAGTGCGGGGTCCAGGTGGGATGATAAACGTTTTCCCGGAGATCTCAGCACAATGATGAAGACGATGACGATAATGATGATCAAGATGATCATGAACGCCTTCGCAAATCCATAGGACTCCTTAGGACATCAATAGGTTTCCTTAGGAATTCAATCGGAATCCTTAGGAATCCTTGCTACTCAACATAGGAGACAGCAGCTTTGACTCGCCACATTCCCCTTCGATAAAAAAGGTTCGGCCTTGCTGCCTCTCTTCCCTGCCCAAACCTGTACTGGCCCGGGATAATGAACTCTCAATGGTGGAGGGGGGACCCATTTATTATCCGGACGCTTCGGCTATGGACAGCCCTTCCCAGAACGCAGAGGTCTCCAGGAGGACGAAGATGATGAGGGGGGACCCGCCAGGCTCGGGCGCGCTACGAGGCCGCGGAACGGACATGCTTCAGAGATCATTTGAATCTCTTTGGGGTTTTTCGGCGTGTGTTGGGGGCCCCTTGGGGGTATGTTTGGTCGTTTTGGGGGCCGCATGTCACGTCGGCGTCGGGGTGTCCGACACCGCAGGGAGTGCTCAACCTTAGACGATCGGCGGCCTTGAAAACGTTCAACCTTGAAAACCCGCGCCCTCTCAGGGGGCCTCTTGGGGTGACCTGGCGGCGTGTTGGCCGTCTTGGAACCGTTCCAGGCTGTCTCGGAGCGCTTCTGGGGCCCTCGAGGCGCCTTCTGGAGGCGTCCTGGACCGTCTGGAGTCTGGAGGCTGCCTTGGCCGGTCGTGGGGCGTCCTGGGACTGTCTCGGAACTACGAGGCTGCCCGGGGAGATCCCGGGGAGGGCCGGGGCCGCTCTGCACAAACGGTCCCACCTCTGGTGCCGCGAGGCCAGGTCCTCCCTTCAATGTTCCATATCTCTCTCTCTATATATATGTATAGAAATGTGTGTCTGTATGAGGGTATATATGTATGAATGAATGAATCAATGAATGTACGAATGTGTGTATGTCCATATGTACATCTATGCGCAAACGATCGTATGTATGTTTGCATGCATGCATGAATGTATACGCTTCTGTGAATGAGTATGGTTACGTGCATGCCTATGTATAAGTAGGTATAGGTAAGTACCAGTACGTGGTTGCATATCTGTGGTATGCCTACATGTACGTATGTTGACAGTAATGCATACATGTAGGCATGACTGTACGTTTGTATGTATGTGGATGTGTGGGTATGTATGTGGGTATGTATGCCATGGTTGCCTCTTTACAAATGTGTACAGGTGTACATATGTACACCTATATGTGTGCCCTGTCATACATGCACACATGCTCGCAAAGATGCTTGCACACATGCATTCTTACATACATACACGAACAAAGCCATACATGTGTACTCACAGGCATGCATATATTTACGCATACAAGCATACGTGCCTACGTACATACTTGCATGCGCACATTTCCATTCATACATACATGCATACTTACATTCGCAAATTTATGCACACGCACAGGCATGCATACACACACCCACACATCCATACCAATGTACACGCAACCATTAATATATACACCCATACACCCACCAGCACATACACATACATGTTTGCACACACGCACACAAACACATGCACCTGCACCAACACCTATGAATGCCCCTGCATCTACACCCACGCCAACACCTACACCTACACACTTGCACACATACAGACATATACATATACATACGAGCATCTATACATATCTATATAAACACACAAGCATAGAAACAGACATACGGATTGACAACGGCAACCGTCACTGACGTTCCTGTTGAGTTTCAAGAACGTGGGGCGTTCTCGCCATTTCTGTTTTCCAATGCTCCAGGGCGGCCCAATAGGCCCCCAATACCAACCCAAAACTGCCAAACATGCATGCAAGAGGCCCCTTATGACGGCCTAAGAGCGCCCCAAGACGGCCCGAGAGGCACCCAAGACGGCACTGGAGGGCACAGAGCCGGCCCCAGAAGAAGCCCCAGAGAGGGAGAACACGAACCGAAAATCCCAGCCTTCCGCCAAAATGGTTTCCCAGGCGGCCCCAATAGGCGCCCAAGAGGCCCCACGAGGCCTCCAAGGGGCCCCCAAGAGGCCCCATCACGGTCCCCAGGAGGCATCACCACTGCCTCCACGAGGCCCCCGAGAGGCCTCCCACGACATTCCACTGAACATGCACTAAGCTCATACCGCAGAACAAGCCCAGTGGCGGGACTTGTCGCAATCATGTGGACGCCTATATATATATATGCATATATATAAGACACAGACGATCCATGTTATATGAAATAACAAGATCCAACATACATTGGCTCGTTAATACAGTCATTCGTTAATTCATGCACACATGCATACATGCATACACACATGCATGCACACATGCATCTACACAGGCATACACGCACACACATTTAACTATACATAAATAGTTCGATGGTTGATGTATACTTACATACACACTGTACACGCATACCTTCACACACTCACGCAGGTATTCTATGAATATATACATGTATACGAACAAGCAGTGCTTATTTACATACATACATACAGGCATGCATGCATGCATACATACCGACATACATGCATACATACAGGCAGCCATACATACAAACACATATATATATATATACATACACCTACATACAAACACACCTTCGTGGATGCATAAACAACTACATACATACAAACATACATACAGGCAGGCAGACGGACAGGCAGGCAGGCAAATTTACATATATATATATATATATATATATATATATACACATACACAGATACAGTAATACTACCAAGCAAACTGCATGCATCGATGTATCAGAGGCCTCTGGGGTGTTCGTTGGTACCCCGTTGGACGCCTGTTGGGGGCCGTTTCAGGGCCTCTTTCGGGCCTCTTGGCGGCCTCGTGGGTGCCTCGTAGCGCCTCTTCGGGGCCTCTTGGGGCCTCCTGGGGGCCTGCGGGGGAGGACGGCTGGAATTGTGGGTTCGTGTTCCCCCTCTTGGGCCTCTCTGGGGCCCGCTCCGGGGCCCCTGCTGGGCCGTCGTGTCCTCTTGGGCCCTCTTGGGCCCTCCTGGGGCCCTCTCAAATCATCTTGGGGCTCCCAAGGGGGCCGCTGACGCCGCCTTGGGGGTTTGGGGGGAGCCGCGTGTGCCATCTCGGGAGCCCTGGTGTTCTGAGCACCGAGCTTCGCGCATCGCGATGCGCGAAACGCGCGGCCCTCTTGGCGCCCCCGCGCCGCCGCCCTAGAGCAGGGCAGCCTTCTCCGCCCAGACCGCAACGCGCGAGGCACGGTTGTCTCTGCGTGGCCCCTTGGGGCGACTTGTTCGAACCGCCAAGAGGTCTGGGCTGGAAAGACCACAAGATGCCGTGGAGAAGCTGTCTGCACTACAGAGTCCACGGCAGTCTGGACGCCCCCCCTAAGACAACGTTCGCATCTCGAGCCGTTTCTTGAGGGCCCACAGGCGCAGAACCTGCTTTGAAACAAAACGCCGCTCTGCGTGCATTAGATGCAAGTGGTTTTCGAAGCCGTGGACCTCTGAAAGAGAGGCTGCGCACACCTCAACAGCCGGCAGCCTGCTGGCAACATTCTGGAAACATTCTGTCCAATCCGTCTGGAGGCCTTGGGGGACATCCATGGAACGCTCTCGGCGGGGGGGCGCAGCTGCTGCAGAAGGCACCCTGGGCCTGGACAACCTCGCGGACCCGGCACAAACAAACAGGATCCCGGCGAATACCCGGCCACATGCCGCTGCGCGTGTCGCGAGGCAAGCGGGACAGAGAAGGGAGGCGGCAAAAGAAAACGCCCGCGGGCCCGCGTGCGACCCCTGCCGCTGAAGCCATCGGCGGGGCCGGCACGAAACGTGCGAGTGGTGTGCCGAAATTTTGCGGTGGCGGCATGCGAACGTCGCCTCTGGGGCCTCCAATGGGGCTTCCTATGGGACCGCTAAACGTGTGAGGGGCATGCCAAACTGGAGAGGTGGCTCGGCAGAGCTCCCTATCATGCGACGAAGCATGTGAGGGGTGTGCCGGTGACGTGAAGGGAAGCGAACGCAGCCTCTTCGGCATTCGATGGAGCTGCCTAAAAGGGCTACGAAACGTGTGAGGGGCATGCGGACAATGGTGGCGTGGCGGCATGGGAAAGCATCAGCTTTGGCCTCCGGTGGAGCTCTAATATGGGACCACGAGGCGTGCGTGTGTGGGGGGGGGGGGGGGGCGACATTATGAAGCGGTTGCCTCTGAGGGCGTCGGTGGAGTGCCCTAATGGGGCCACGGAGCGTGTGGAGGGTCACCGAAAAAGGCATGCAAAGGGAGGCGATGAGGAGGTGGTGTGATGGTCCTGTTTCCCACCACCCCCACAACAAGTTGGAGGGGGAGGGGGTCCTCCTCCTTCTCCTCCTCCTCTTCGCCCTCCTCGTCCTCCTCCTCCTCCTCCTTCCCCAGTCCAACTTATGGTGGTGGTGGTGGGAAACAGGCCCATCCGTGGTTGGGCGCGGCGCTGCGGAATTAAAACGAAGATCCAACAGCGCAAGATGGCTGGGGAAAACAACGCGTCGAAACCAACGTGTGGCTCTGCAAGTTGGAAGTCTTGGGAGGGCCTCGGTGGGCTCGTACGAGCCCTTGCCCCGCCCGACGTACGTCCACTCGGTGGAGGCGATTCTGCCGGTGGGCTCGAAGCACAACTCCTCGATCCCGTGACAGCACGCTCCGCCGCCGGAAGGGTCGCACGGACTGGGCGGGCCACCTGGGCATCCCGGGGAGGGGGGGGGGCACGAGGGAGGAGGCACGGAGGCACAAGAGCGAGTTAACGGGAGGAGGGCCACGAGAAAGGCAACCTGGGTGGAGGGGGGGGGAGAAGAGGGGGCAGACGGACTCGAGGCAGGGAGGAGGGCGTGGCAGGGGAGAAGGATGAGAAACTTCACCCGCAAGTGGGCGATACACGGCGCGAGATACTTGGAGGGAAAAAGATATCCCACTCCTCCGCCACCTGCTGCTGGGCCTTCGTGATACGTCCCTGCCCCCTGCGGCCTCCCGAGGCATGTTTCATCGCGTGGCCCCCAAGGCCCACAACCCCTCCCGCGGACCAGTTATTCGCCGCGAGCAAGTTTTTGACAGCTGAGACTCTGGTCCCACAGAAGTTCGCCATTTTGGGAACATGCCGTCTCCTCGATATTAATTGAAAGGCTGGGCGCGTTCGCGCAAACATCCGACGGTGTGATTTAGGCCTACGCAGCTTGTCCGAAAGGGCCCTAAATCTTGCTTCATAAGGCCCAGATTGCACCCTGTCCGCATCCAGAATCGACGGTTCGCGGTTTCCAGTGAGGTATTCCAAATGGTCTCCCTTCGGATCTCCGGTATGATCCCGTCTGGTTCCATGGTCACCAGTATGGTTACCCATCTGGTCTCCCATCTGGTTCCCGGTATGGTACCCCATGTTGTATGCGGAATGGTCTCTGATATGGCATCCCGCATGGATCTCGCATTAGGCTGCTTACGATACTTCGCCGCCAGGGTGTGATTTCCCAATTTGCGGCCACCGATCTCCCGTTCACGTATCTTCCAGGGCCATCTTCGGAAGTCCCTGGCCCCAGGTGCCCCCCGGCTTCCTCGCTCCACTTTGGCCTCGTGAGAGACGCTCTCGAGGCCGCGGGGGCCTCCCTGGAAATTCGGAGGGGGGCACCCTTGGCCAGGGGCACCCCTGGCAACACCTGCATTGGCCCATGGGCACTTGTCCCTCTCCGATCCAAGTGTGGATTGGCCCCAACCCCGGGGCCCGAGCCTGGCCCCCAGGGGGGAGGCCGAGGTGTGGAACAAATGCGGGCGGGAGAAAAACATGCCGCCGGAAGTCCGGGATCAATGGGGCCGCCTGGCTCGCGCGGAAGCAATGCGGAAGGACAGCTGATCCAATGCCTGCGCCGCGCTGCACCTGCACGCATTGAAAGAGTCCCACCGCCAGCCCGCCCACTGTCTCCGCGGCAGGAAGGGGGAGGAGTGGGGTGGAGGGGGAGGGAAGGCGGGGGAGAAAGGAGAGGTGCGAGGAAAAACACAGGAGGAGGAGGAGGAGGAGGAGGAGGAGGAGAAGGAGAAGGAGGAGGAAGCCTGAGTCAGGAAGGGAGCAACTCTACTCCGCGACTTCTGAGCGGACAGGAGGAGAGGGGCGACAGGAGGAACGAGAAGAAGAGAGGAGGAGAAGGAGGAGGAGGAGGAGGAGGAGGAGAAGGAGGAGGAGGAACTCACTTGGCAAGGAGGGGAGCCAAAAAAAGGGCCGAGCCGACCCCATTTCAGTGCCTGGCGGGAGCGTGGGGCGGTCCTCCACGGCAATTGCTGCGCCAGCGCTGACTAGAAATTGGAGGTGAGGATGAGTTCGGCACACGCTGACAAAACGGGCTTCCCCACACCCGTCTAGATCATGAATGTGCAACCTGCCGTTGCTCTGTCGGCGACTGTGATCTACAATGTACACCATGCCAACGCAAAGAGACATGTAATTCAGCCCAGGTGAAAAACAAAAAACATAACAGTACAGTGACCAGAGAGGCGCTCGCGAGGACTATCATTGCAACATCTAGCAGGGAAGTGAAAGCAGAACGCGTGCAAGAAGGAAAAGCTGGCACAACCAATCAGGCGGGCAACGGGTCACCCCCAGGGACACCACAGGCACGACAGCTGCGGGCAGGGCCACGGAACCTGTGGGACGTGCATAAGCAGTTGCAAAGCACACTGCGCTACACATAACACTGCGCATTCGAGACTAGACGATAAAGAACAACAGCTACACAATCAAGTTTGGCAAGGATCAATCGTGGAAATGCCGAAAACGATGAGCGGCCACGCGATCCACCTTTCACTCACGAGGACCCAATCGGATTTCGAACGTTGCCATCTGGACCATTAAGGCCACAGCCAGGGAGGGTTCGTCTTCCTCCCATAGATTCGGGCATTCGTCATCTTCTCCGAACCGAGAGAGCCCATCGATGAGAGCGCCCAATGTGTTCGAGAAGATCGCGTCCATGTGCGTAGCCGCGCGGCGCGCAGCGAAGAGGTCACGGCGCTGGGTCGGGAGCAGGAGCGAAGAGAAGTGCTTCATCGCGTGGGGAATCATCGCACGCCTTCGGGCGGATCATGCCCAACCTGCCGAACCCTGCAAACCAATGTGGACACTGGGGCAGCCCGACCCGCCCAGTGATCGCGCGAACCTATCGCGGGCCCGAGATATCTTCCCGAACGAACCCAATTCCAAATATGATCGCCCACACTAGCCTCAGACAGCCCCTGGGGGATCTCATCTCTGAGATGCCCCCTGGAAGAATCAAGCGGTTCCTTTGCTGGAGGATATGTCGCCCACGTGGTTTGGCCGAGGTGTCCCATGCGGCCATCGTTCTGCGCGGCGCGTCAAAAATGCCGTTGGCGCCCGCGCCGATGTCATCGGCGAAGGCAGCGTGCGGCGCAGCATGGTCGGAGACCCTGGCACGAAATGATCCGGTGATCGGGTCGACAGCGATGGCCCAAAGAGACCCCTGTCATCGGACGCCGTCTCTTGATCCCACGCAAACGCCAAGAACCAGATTCTGGAATCCCGCGCAAGGAGATGGGGCGCAAGAGCCGACGGAAGAAGAACCCGGTGGCGCAAACCAATAAACTTGACATCCTCGCCTTTCGTAAACGCACAGAACAACATTTCGTCCAAGATATACGCGAAGGCCGCGCGGATGCTGGAACCGATGAACTTGCGGCGTTCACCACGCTGGGCGAGATAGTGTGAACATTTGGCTTCCAGGTCGATGATATCATCAGCCACGCTGCGGTTCTTGACAGCCCTTTTTGGTTACCGATGCAAATCACTCGCACAATGCGCGCGGCCGGTTTGTTCAACGATGTGGCGAGAAGCTTTCTGCGCGAGTTCCCTGTGCTGAGGGTGTAGGGTGTCGTTGCCCCTGGCGACCTTCCTGCGTTCGGCCTGAAGGTTTCCTCTGGGTATGAAAACCGCGCGGGCCAGTGCAAACTATGACGACTTCTAAACAAAGTCTGCTTTGGGGGGAGGCTCGCTCGTTATCTGCCCATGGCTAGGTCTCAGGTCACTCGAAAGGGCGGTGACCGCAGGGCATTCAGAAGGCGTTCTGCTCCCGCCGTTGTCAATATCCTAGGGAGCCCCTCCGACAGCAATCGGCTTTGGGACTCTCTGATTGCAACACAGGGCCGAAAGGCCTGCCCTTGCGAGGTTTAGTATCCGCTCGGATATGCTGAGGAAGTAGGGGGTGAGGAGAAGGAGGAGGAGGAGGAGGATGAGGAACACAAGGAGGAGGACAAGGAGGAGGACAGGGAGGAGGAGGACAGAGAGGAGGGAGGAGGAGGAGGAGGAGGAGGAGGAGGAGGAGGAGGAGGAGGAGGAGGAGGAGGAGGAGGAGGAGGGAGGAGGATGGAGGAGGAGGAGGAGGAGGAAGGAGGGGGGGGAGGGCCGCCGCGGCCGCGGCTCAGGAGGGGGGCGCCCCCCGCAAGCCGCCTGGGCCGCTGCGCCCGGCGAGGCCGCCGTCGGAGGCCCGGGCCGCGCTGGCGAGCCGCGCCCGCGGTCGCTGGGCACACCCCACGCCGACCAGCCATAACTGGGGGAGCTGTGGTCCTTACCCCCCTGGGGGAACGCATTGCATCGACGATCTCTCGAGAGGGGTGTCGAAATCGATGGTTCCCCCAGGGGAGTAAGGACCACAGCTCCCCCAGTTGTGGCTGGGCACACTCCACGGGAGCCCGCGTGCGTCTCGGGGGCGTCCAAGGAGGGGGCGTCGTCCAGAGGCGGCGAGCCCAGGGGGGGGGCAGTGAGCAGGGGCGGGCCTCCGCAGAAGGCTCGGGAGTCCCACGGCCTCGTGAGAAGTTTCTCTGTCAGCCTCCCCCCGAAGACGCAGGACGCCCTTCAGAAGGCGCGAGGGTCTCTGAGAAGTCCCGCCGCCTTCTCACTTTCCCCCCTCGCTCGCCGCCGAGTCCAAGAGGGAGGTTCGCAAACCATGGTCCAAGGCACGTGCACGGCCCCAGGACGGGGCAGGGGACGCATTGAAACAAGAAGAAGCGCCATGAAATCTGGAGAGATATCATAGCCCCCGCCATGATATCGGGGTTCTGGAGGTCTGGAGGATGTGTCTGGCGCCGCGGCCATTCCAGAGCGCTCGCGGACGCGCTGGTCGAAAGTGTTCCAAACCGCTCTGGAGCGACGTATCCCTGTCCTAGCTCCGCCCGGGGAGCGGCCAGCTTCGAATCAAATCGGAGAGGCCGGATCGTGCCGTTGCCGGCCCGGAGTGGAACTCGAAGCGGGCCGGCCGCGCCAGGATGCACACCATCGTCACGCAGGCATCGGGCTGTATCGAATCGACGGAATATCGATGTCGAGCCCTAACGAGCGTGCCCAGATCGAGACTCAAACGGATCGGTCGAACGAAATGGGCGCTGCGAAGTCAACCCAGACATTGAGGAGGTAACGAGCGCTGCATCTCCAGGGGGCCGTGTCTGTGCCATCGCGCAACTACTTACGTCGAGTCCGCGTCGAATCGATGTCCAACGTCGAATCCGCGTCGAATCCACGTGGAATCCGCGTCAAACGATCGTAAACATCAAGTCGAACTCGCGTCCAGGTCCCCCGAAGATGCAACATGGCTGGAATATCTCAAACCTACGAGGTCCGATTTACGGGGGTCATAATGTCCAGCTCCAGCCAATAATGGAGCCAGATAGAGCCACGAAATGAGCCGCAGTCAAAAGTGCAGGATGAAGCGGGGCTCGGTCGGATTTCTAGCAGGCACCTGATGGGGCCGACGTTGAATGCCACCTCCCAGGAGTTGCAACCTGAACCCACGAGCTCCAGTTTTTGAAAACACACCACGCGCGTTATGTGGCTGGGTGGGTGGGTGGGTGGGTGAGGTCGCTGGCACATGGCACAATGCATTCGTGCCTGGCCGCTCGAATGAGTTGTTCTCTGAGCGCTGCCCCCGTTGCCACTGCTGGTGCTGCTGTAGCAAAACGGCCCTAGCAGCGCTGCGATCGCCACAAGGCGCGCTGACACCGCAAGTCCCGCTCTCACCACGCATGCTGCTGCAGCAACCAGCGCGTGAACCACATCACCTGCGCAAATCGCAATGCATGGGAGCATGGGGGTGCTCTTGTGCACCACAGCGCCTGCGTACACAAGGGCGAACGGGTACGCCCCAGCGCCCCTGCACAGCACACATGCGGCCACGCGGACACATCCCGCGTGCACCACAAAACCCGTGTATCACACGATCCGCGCGCACACCACAACAACCGTGCGTAGCGCGGCGCCTCACGCATGTGTGCACCACATTGGATATGTACACCACATAGCTGGCATACACTTTGAGGATCCCAGCGAGGCCCAAGCACCGAAACTCGTGCTCGTGGGGGGGGGGAGGCGCGCGAAGGTATCCAATCGAATCTGCCAGTGGTTTGTGTTTCTTGTTTGCTGGTCGCCCGGAGGCCACTCTGGCAACTGCTTCGAGCTGCGTGCGGCCGCAGCGGCGAAGATTCCTCAACCAGAGGGGGGCATGACCCTTGATGCCTCGAGTTCCCTTGCGCCAAAGTTTCGTCCGAGAGGGCCCTGACCCAAGAGGCTCCCAAGAGGGCCCCGTCGCGGCGCAAGACGGAGAAACGACGGCCGACGGAACGCCCAGGACTGTCCAAGGGGCCCCCAGGAGACCCCAAGAGGCGCCTAACAAGCTCCTTTAAAAGGTCTAAGACAAACCCAGAGCGCGCCCAAGAGGGCCCCGAGAGGCTCAAACCCCTCCCTTCCCCTCATTGCCCCCCGCATCCCTGCCGTGCTCTTCTCTTCTCGTCCTCGTCCTGGTCCTCGTCGTCCTCGTCGTCCTCGTCGTCTTCGTCGTCCTCGTCGTCCTCGTCGTCGTCATCGTCGTTCGCGTCGTCCTCGTCGTCGTCCTCGTCGTCGTCCTCGTCGTCCTCGTGATCGTCGTCGTCCTCGCCGTCCTCGCCGTTCTCGTCGTCCTCGTCGTCCGTCGTCGTCCTCCTCTTCCTCCGCCTCCTCTCCCTCCTCCTCCTCCTCCTCCGCCTCTCCCTCCTCCCCCCCCTCCTCCCCCGTCTCCTCCTCTTCATGCTCTTCCTCCTCCTCCATCCCCCCTCCTCCTGGCGCCCAGGGTCGGCGGCACTGGCCGTAAATCCTTCCCAACAAACTTGTCATTGCGGGGTCACGGTGTGGTCACTGCGCCGTGGTCGGCGCGGTGGTAATACACGAATTGATCCATGCAGTGGCGGGGCACCAATCACCACAATCACCGAACACTTGAGCAATGAAACCTGCTTGAGAAGAAAGAAAGACACACACACACACGCACTGTTCAGGGGCCCGTGCTGGCACATGGGTGATCCCAAGCGCCGGACGCCTTGGAATTGGACGGCCGTGCCGCGCTGCAACATGCGCCCTTCAGCCAAGTCGGAGGACGACGCGCCTCGCTGGATACACATGCGGGTGGCCGGCGTGCCTAGCCGCAAGAAGTACAAGGACCGAGCGTTGGAAAGAAACGCGGCCACCTGTTTGTGCAACTCTCGTCTGGGCCAACACAGTGCCCATCTCTGAAGGCGTCAATATCCAGCAAACAATTATTTCATGTTTCTTGGTAACGGGCGTTGTACGGGTGGGGGGGGTCGAATCTGAGAGGGGCGTTCAAGATGTACAGGGGTGTTCAAAATCAACCCACGGGACAAACGTCGGTGCGAATGCACCCCAGTGCCTGTGTACGCCACCAGCCTGTACGTCACAACGCCTGCGTACAACACAAAGCCCGTGCACACATCCAGGTGCCCGACGGTGTCAAACTCCAACATACCATGGCCGGCTAGACACCACCACGCCCGTATGCCTCACAATTGCCGCCGCAGCCAGCGTGTGCGCTATGCGCACCGGGCTGCTTGTTTCTTCTGGTGCTGAGTGCGCCGCCGCGCCTGTGCGGGTGACACAACAGCCTGCGCACGCCACGCGCCTCTACATACCACAAACACATGCCTGCGCACACTGGTGACACGCTGCGCGCACTACGAACGGCACACCTGTAGGCTAAGCAACAGGCGCTGCTACAACGGGGGTGAGTGGAGGTGCGGGCGTTCTGTTATCTACTGGGTGGAGGGGTACGTTGGAGGCCACATGGGTGTTCGAGTTGAAAGATCTGCAGCTCCATGGTGGGCGTACAATTGTGATCTCCAGAAACCCCACAAGACTGTCTTGCACCACCCACGACACGAAGGCCCCTCCCGTGCAAGCGCTGCTTGGGGAAACCCGCCACCTCGCGGACCCAAACATGCGATGCCTTGCATTTGTTTCAACACGGTGCCTCCGAAGTCCTGACCCTCTCCCCAGGACCAGGACCGGTTATGCGTCCTGAATCGCTATGGGACGGTCCCCGGGCCCGGCGAGAGCCCACGGGGGGCAAAGATAGAGAAAAGCCTCCCGGCGTGATTTTTGTTCACGACTCGAGCAGGTCTGGGGATGACCCTTGGCACGCGGCGGCCGACCCGCGACCACAGCGGGGGCTGCGTCGGAAAAAAACCGCTGGGGGGCGGGCGTTCCCGCGCCCGTTCTCGGGCCCATATGGGGGCCCGCCCTTGGCGGCCCGGCCCCGCCTCGGGCCGAGCCCGCCCCGGAGCTCAAAGGTGGGGTCGAGCGCCCCAGCTGTGAGCCTCAAAGGGCCCACTGCTGCTCACGGCGTCTAGTTTCGGGGCGGGAGCTTCGATCTGAACACGCTGGAGGGTGGCATCGGTGCCGAGCATTGCCCGGCCAGGAGGCCGCGCTTCTGCCCACCTGGCATAGACAGTATGTTATCTCATCTGCCCTCCGCTGCCCCTCCTGGGTGGCAAGGCAGCGAACTGCTGCGTGCGTCACGGTAGGCGACCTCAGCCGTGGACCGCGACCTGTTGGTGTGGTTTCATGCAGGTGCCAAGTGGGTTGGCTATCAGGACCGAGCTCGGGCCACCGCCCTAGACGGAGGAGCTCTGAAACCAGACGGGGGGTCCCGGTACGCTAGCGGTGAGAAACCTGTGCGTAGCGTGTCGCGGCGGCGGCCCCTGCGCCACACGCTGTGCCTTTTCAAGCTGATGGCGAGCCGCTCCGCTCCGTGCAACGGGAGGCTGGCAAAAGCTCGGAACCTTGATGCTTGGGCACCGGGGCGCGCCCAGCGCGTCGCGCCGAAGCGCTGCAAACCAGAATTATGTCGGGCCTGTCCCCCTACAGGGGGATTTTCGACGAAGAAAAAAAAACACCCCAAGAATATTCCAAAAATAGTCTTGGGACTATGTTTCAAATATTGTTTGACCTTTTGGGGGTATTTTGTTTTTTTTTCGTCCAAAAATCCCCCTGTAGGGGGACACGCCCGACAGAAAACCAGAACCGCCGGCGCGACACGCTGAGCAGCCGCTCCTGGCCGTGCGCGCCGTGTCGCTGCCTTGCCACCCCCCGCCTTGCCGTGGGCTGCCGAGCGACCGCTGGCCGTGGGTGTAGCGCCCACCCGCGCCAGGGCCAGGCCGCGTGATGAACGAGCCTCCGGGGCGGCTGGGCCCGGCCGCGCCGGCGGAGGGGCCGACAGGGCGGATTGGCTGGTGGCCCCACATGCTCCTCCTCAACCTCCTCCTCCTCCTCCTTCTCCTCCTCTTCCCCCGCACCTTCCCTCCCTTCCCAAACGTGCGCCGGATCTGCATTCGTCTTTCCGGAAATGGGCCTGTGACCTCAAGGGGCCAGCGCTT